TTAAAGAAGTCCAGACGCCTTTCTTTGCAAGCTCCTTTGACTACGATGACCTGGATGACTGAGAACCTTCACAGACATATCTGCTAGGCTTACTTTTTCTTGCCTGGGTGTCTTTGTTAGATGTTACAGCAAAGTAAAGTTTATGTTAAACCACTGTTTTATGTTGGTGTCTTGGTTGATATGTGGTTCCAGAATGAAAGTTGAAGACAAAATTTTGCCATCTCTTGCGTGTTATCTTATCAACATCATCTGGACATCCCTGTTGGAAACCCAGCAAACATGGTCAAAAAGCTAAGCTGGTGGTAAACTGGTGATTCTAAATTGTTTGTAGGTGTTAAATGAATGGTAGCATGAATAGTTGTCTGTCTCTGTGTCAGCCTGGAGGCAGGGTCCAGGAAGTACCCATCTTCTTGCCTTTCTTGTGATGGACTCTAGCCCTCCCCGCAACCCTGAATTGGATAAGCAGAAGAAAATGGATGAATGGTTAAGAGAGAGGTCAAGAGTTTGAGTCGGATTTATGGCGTGTTTTCAAGACTAGACATCAAGAAAAGATGGACAGCCAATGGTTATTCAATGTCAAAATGTTTTGGGAAGTCGATGAAAGAATTGTTTTATATTAATCTTAATTGAGTAGAAGAAAATGTGACAGAAAACATTATAATTCAAGATGAGCATAAGAATGCCAGGAAAAACTCCTAAGGACACCCCTGTGTTCACATCATAGGGTCTACAAGGACCCCTTCAATTCACCATACAACAGATGAGACAGGATTCACGCCTAGTTATACATAAGTGGCTTAAAAGTAATGATGATATTTTAAAAAATGGCCATCTGGTAATACTACTCTATATCTATGGAGTAGATGTTATGCGGGTACCTTTTTACAGTCATTTGGTAATCAAATTAGTTGCAAGTCAGTGAATTAGTTGACTAACTAACAAAACATGTTCATTGAATGTCTTCACTGGATAGATCAATGCTATTTACATGTATAACAATGGTCGTATTAGACCATCTCGTACAGTTTACAGGATTATTTAGATTTCTCATTAAGTGGTTCAAATGAAGTGGTCCTGCCACATCTATGTTGGTGCATCTTGATGTTATTTGTTGCTAAACCTTAACAGCAGCATCACTGATTTTTGCCGCTGAAGGTTAACGCTGTATTTTTGGATAAATAAATTATGAGGTTAAATGGGCGCTGTTTCAGGCAAGGTGGCCTACATCTGATCGAACTAGAACTGAACAGATTAGTTGATTGATCGCTTATATCACTCTAAACTGCTTTGGGTGTCAAGCTGCAGGCTAGACAAATCACCCCAGGCTGTGATTAAACTGTGATGGACATTTTCACTGTTTTCTCACATTATCTATACTCATCAGTTAATTGGGAAACAAATGAACCTCGTTTTCATAATTTTACGATAATTTTAGAAATGTGTCAGGTATGTGAGAGACAGGCAACCTGTTCTGGTAAGTCCAGTGGCAGTTTTATGTGTAAA